GTGATGCCCACTTCCGTACTGGTTGGGCTCATGTTTTGCCAATGAATGACTGCATTCAAATGCGGGGCGGGTTGGCATGGAGGCAATCAGGGCATCAGCTGTGGGCCACTGCTGAGTGGTGATGGGAAGCCAGGGCGCTTTGGATTAGCCGGGCCCTTCAGCCGTCGTCTGGCCATTTGCTTGGGTTCCTTCGGTGTTCCTCTCACTTTCTTCTTGACATATGAAAATTTTTCAGCTTCTCCATAAAGCTTGTCAGAAGAAGGAAGGGCATGAAGTGCTTCTAAGAAAAATGTCCTGGTTAGACGGCTGGGTTGGACTTTTGGATTGGAGGAACCCAGTGGACCAAACACCAGCCGATTGCCATGGTGCCCACCAAATTCTCCCTCACTGGACTGGAAAGTACATTTTTGCAATTTTTCATTTGGGAATCAAGGTTCCCACAGTGTCTGGAGGAAGAGGTGGAGAGGCACACAATCCATCGTTGCTTTGAAGTGCAGTGTTGGAAGTTTCCACCAGTCCAGTGCTTGATTTTGGCGGGCCATGTTCATCTGACTTACTGTTGGTTCCAATGTGTTTTATCACAGTCCAAGTTCAATGCAGCCGGTCTTAACCAGGCGATTTTAGAGCACTTCATGCTTCCTTCTTCTGACAAGCTTTATGGAGATGCTGATTTCATTTTCCAGTAGGACTTGGCACCTGCCCACACTGCCAAAAGTACTAAGACCTGGTTTAGTGACCATGGAATTACTGCGCTTGATTGGCCAGCAAACTCGCCTGACCTGAACCCCATAGAGAATCTATGGGGTATTGTCAAGAGGAAGATGAGAGACACGAGACCCAACAATGCAGACAAGCTGAAGGCCGCTATCAAAGCGCCCTGGGCTTCCATCACACCTCAGCAGTGCCACAGGCTGATCGCCTCCATGCCACGCCGCATTGATGCAGTCATTCATGCAAAAGGATGCCAAACCAAGTACTGAGTGCATACACATGAACATAATTTTCAGAAGGCCAACATTTCTGTATTAAAATTCATTGTTTTATTGGTCTGATGTAATATTATAATTTTCTGAGACACTGATTTTTAGATTTTTGGATTAGCTGTAAGCCGTAATCATCAAGATTAAAACAAATAAAGCCTTGACATATTTCACTTTGTGTGTAATGAATCGATATAATATGAGTTTCACTTTTTGAATTGAATGAATGAAATAAATGAACTTTTCCACGATATTCTAATTTATTGAGATGCACCTGTGTATATATGAGCCAGTTTATCTGAAACTTGATCAGAATCCCTTGTGCAAAAATAAGCCTAAAAACACCTTATAATTATAAACCAGCTCCTTCTGGTTTAACTGTTTTCTGTAGTTTTTTTGTCTTTATAGTTTGTAGCTATGTACTTGTAAGTTGTGCTGACTCTGTAAATAGGATTGTTTTGCAGATGGTGTGTGTGTGTGTGTTAAATTGATGGAGTGCTTGTTATTGTTGGTCTGGAAAGCCTCCCTGGGGACAGAGAGGAGACAGCAACCACACAGCTGTGACCCCTCCCACTAGTATGTGCGCCTGTGTGTATGTAGTGGTTGCCTATACAAATAAAGGTAGGCATATTGGGCACCCTCTGCCAGCTGAACTTATTCTCTACTTGTCTTGTCTCTTTCTCTTATTGTCACGTCCCCCCAGAAGAAAGGAAGACTCCCCGCAAAACACAAAGGCCCAAACAAACAAACCCAACACAAAAACATGAGTCATGTCCGACCACTGTGACTCAATTCATTCAAGTGCTTTTACAAGACCTGCAGCTGTGCTACAGTTATTATGAGACTTCATCAAATCATGCAAACTCACCTCAAAGCAGTGTTGTAGTCAAGTCACCAGGTCTCGATTCTGAGTCACTCGAGTCCACCACTCTTCTAAAGTCTAATAGAAAGTCCAATAATTCCAACTATTCAAACTTACAGACACCCACATTATTTCCCAAGTGGTCAACTTTCACACTGCAATAGATAATTAATGTCCTTATGTTTTTTAACACAGTCTGTCTTCCGGTTGCCTCTTTTGAAGGACGAATACACACTACCGCTGGTAAGGAGAGTTATTGCCACTCACGCATGCGCTGTGCGTTCGTGCTACTTGGTTGAAGTCTTTGCGGTGTGTTCCAGTGCGACTTTCTGGCCAACACGCAGGAGACGTGAGGCGACACAACAGTCGAGTCCGTCGGGACGTATTCTTTGGTGTCAGTTTGGTGTGTCAGGGCCTTAAGATGTTTATGGTTTAGTAAAAAATATCATAAATGCTTTTGTAATTGTTCTAAAAAACTGTGTGTTTGTGTATGTGTATACTATTTTTAAAGACTTGTGTATCGAGAAGAACTGTTTACCGAAGGCAAGGTGTGGTTAATAAACTCCCCTTTCTCCGCATCCTGGGACCTGCTGTGTGTGTGTTACAGTGCTGGTGTGTATCACGCTAACTGTAGGAAATACAGTGTGAGTGGGGTGTGTGTATGCTTGACTGCAGCAGGGAAGTGGATTCTAAGTGAAATATCTGGTTCAGTGTGGCGTAAAGGAGCAGGCTTCTACCTCCCCACCACCGTCATGCATGGCGGTGGTGGGATTATCTGTCTGTGTGTGACGGCTTTTCTCGCAGTGCCATACAAAGCCTGCCACCATCGTCTGGAGCTGCAGGCGGGCTTAACATCACACAGCTGTGTGTGTGTGTTCGATTGAACGTATGTGTAAATGATCCTTTTAGTTTAAGTAACTGGTCAAAAGGTCAAAAATAGGCATTTTGTAATGATATATTTTTTAGTTATTACTAACTTCTGGCCCCTTGGTGGGGTGCCATGCATATTCACTAGGGCTGCAACAAACGACTAATTTGATAATCGATTAATCTATCGATTAATGAAACGATTAATCGATTATTCGGAACGTTAAGGTTTTAACTGTACTACTACTTATATCAATACTGCT